GCCCCGGCGGCAGCGCCGAACCGGGCCCACGACGGCTCCCGCAGCTGCCCCCGGCCCCCGGCAGAGGTCAAAAACGGCTCTTTCCAAAACAATAAACTTTTAATGCTAAAGCAGTTATAACCAAAAGCTGTACAGAGTTGGAATTTTTTTTGTTGTATTTTTTTTTGTTAGAAAACAATTTTTTCTCCCCCATAAATATTGTTCAGTTCCCGGCACTTTGTATCAATAATTAAATTACGAACGATAAATATGGCATCATGGATATGTATTTACAAAAAAAGTTATTACAAAAAGGCAACTGTTATACTAAACGTCACAATCTGGGTAGAATAAACACCACATCCTCATCCTGAAAAATACTGACGACCCCATCATACGAGAATACATTCACAAGTGTAATGCTTGGAGAGAGAGAAGGAGAAAGAGGAGGAGAGCAGAGAAAGAAGCAGCAGGAGAGCTAGAAAGTTCAAGACATAACAGGACTTTGGCACGGTTTAAGACTGTAAGTTTAAACAATCACCACTAAGGCGAAGGAGAATTTTCATCCTCATGTCAACATCCCACCAAAAGAAGGAAAACCAAAACAAATTAAAAACAAAAAAGTGAGGAATCGGAGGAAAAGGGACTGGGGCAGGGAGGAAAATAAAAAATATCAAAGAAATGACTGTGACTGCAAAAAAATGACGACAACAACAACAAAAAAAAGAAATCCAATCCTGAGAAAAGGACATGGCTAGTCCAGCGTCTGGGCTTGCAAAAAAATAGTAATAATTATAATATAATAATAAAAGACCCCCCCCTCCGGATCCTGGCAGTTAACTAGGTGTAGCCCTATGCGGTCGTTGGTGTGGAAACTCCCTTTCCGTGGGAGCCAGCTGCTGTTGGCTTGGTTTGTCCTTTTTTTTCCTTGTTCCCAATGCATTTGGTCCAGTCTCTGGCCGGGCAGCAGCTGCCTTCACACATACCACTCATTAAAATTGGGGGGCAGTCCAGGGTTGTGGCCGGGGTTACTCTGAAGGGCAGCCGGCGGCGTTTTAGTGGAGTCCTTACTGCCGGCGGAGCCCACCGCAGGGGGGGTGGAGGACTCGTACCCCGAACTGGCTGCAGGGGAAGAGTCCGACCCCTGGGATTCGTGCACCTAAAACCAAGAGGCAGAGATGGGAGCGAGCTCGGGGTCCCCTCCACCCCACTGAGCCTGGTTGGGATGCTCCCCCACCCAGGAGAGACACTGGAGTCCCCTGGCTCAGCCCCTGTCCGGCAAGCTGGCGGTTCATGCCTTGCTGGACACCCTGACCACCGGCGGCAACCATCTGCCTCGGCTCCTGGCCACTCTACTGCAGCGTCCCAGCATGGGGGGGCTACAGCCACAGGCCGGGGTGCATTTACACAACCCCCCCCAGCACCGAGCCACGCTCTGGAAACCAGGCAGCGCTTGCACCGGTGGGAGCACAAAAAGAAACTACGCCATTTCCCCAGGCTGTGCTACAGCCAGGGCCTAGACACCGGAGATCGCTCGGGCCATGCCGGGACCGTGGAGCGCTGGGGCAGGCACCAGGCTCTGCCCTGGCCCAGGGAAACGAGCCCTGAGCACGCCAGCGACTGAGCATCCCTGCTCAGGGAGGAGAGGGCTGGGGCGCAGGGGTGATTACCTTCATGTGTTTCCTAAGTGAGCTGGGGTGGGTGTAGGATTTGTCGCACACCTTGCAGATGTAGGGCTTGTCCGAGGTGTGGACGTGCATGTGTTTCTTCCTGTCGCTGCTGTTGGCGAAGCGCCTGTCGCAGCCCTCAAACTCGCACTTGAAGGGCTTCTCACCTGTGAAATTCAGAGATGGTGAAGGAGGGCCGCTCCCCTCTCCATCCCCGCCTGCCTTCTCCTCCCAGGACCACCTCTGCCCCGCTCGCCCCACCTTGGGGAGGCACAAGCACCACAAAAAATGAAAAAGGGGAAGATGGACAGCAGGGTTTGTTACGTGTCGGAGAAATTCAGGTCTGCCTTTATTACTTTGAATTCACCTCCCACCAGGCCCGCACTGGGCCCCGGCAGGAACGGCGGCTGGGCAAGCCCGAGGTGGGAGAAGACCCGATATAAATTCAGCGGCTCGGACAGTTTTACAAGACGTACTCGAAGATACAAGCCGAAATACGTTTGCTTCCTGCCTTCCTCCCCTCTTCCCTCCACCCGCGCAGAGAACTGAAAGGAAGCCGGGGCTGCAAATAAAAATACTTCGAGAAATGTATCGCTGATTTAATTAAGGGAGAAGCCAATTAGGCCCAAAAATCAAAGAAAAAAAGAACGGAAGCCACCGAAAAAGAGATTTCTGTCGCATTTCTACGGCTCCCTCCGCAGAGGCGCGCAGGGGGCCGAGAGCGGCGGCAGCGCCGCGGACCTGCC